TTCTCCTCTCTCTCTCTTTCTAGAATTTTTCCATGTTTGGTTGCCGAGAAAATAATGAACAAGAATTCATGATTTCAACGTTGTTCGCATTTTTGTAATGTTTAATGTCGACATCTTTCTTCGCGTAATTTTGATTTGGACGTTTGAGCTTTTTCCGGTTTTCAATCTTTCCCTGCCTCATGAAATCTTCAAATATTTTTTACACGGTTTCTTTGGTTTTTGTTCTTTGAAGATTAAAAATCATTCTCTCCCTCTCCCTCTCTCTTTTTGCTTCTAAATTTATTAATTTTCTTAATATTGCAGAAGGAGAAAGGGCAAGAAAATTCAACAGCCAAGAAATCAACATTGACCGAGAAATTTGCTCCCAGGTTTGATGGCCTAAGGTTCATTGAGACTTTGATCACTGCTCATAGATAAAGCCCCAACACCACAAGCTTCAGTTTTTACCTGATTTGAAGATTCTTTTTCTCGTTTAATTGTTTTGAATTTGACCATTTTCGCCTGTTGTAAATTGTTAAGAAGAGATAAAATTGTAATATTTCTGGGTTTTTGAAATTTTTGGTATGAAAGTCTTGCATTTAATTTTTAAATTGGAATTGTATCTAAATATCATTATATAAATCAATTAAATTGATATCAGACCACTACGAATTCCAATTCAATTTTGTTATCCTATTCCTATTCTTGGGCTGAATCATCAGTGATAGCCGAACTAAGACTTTAAGTTTCACATCAAAATTCAAATAAATAAATAAATAAATTATATGTTTAGTATTTAAATTTGATTTATTTTAATTTTTAAAATTTTAATTTTTAAAAATCACTGTAAACGAGTATTTTTGTTTATTTTTTAGGAATAAATTACATCATTTATCTCTTAATTATCTTCTCATTTTTATTTTAGTATTAAAATTTAATTTTTTTAATTTAATTACTAAACTTTTAAATTGTTATTTTAATCATTTTAATTTATTTTATCAATAATTTTTGTGACATGATTTTTTTATCATTTTATTAATATTATAATTAAAAATAAAAATAAATTTGAAAGTCGGAGTAATTAAATTGAGAGTAATTTGAAAGTTAGGTAATTTAAAAAAACTAAACTTTATTATCAAAATAAGAATAAGAAGATAATTGTGTTATGAATGATATAATTTACTTATAAAAAAGGTGTTACGTGTAAATTATCTGTTAAATTTTTAATGATAAAATATTAAAATGATACAAAAATTAAATAGTATGATTTAAAAAAAAATTAAAAATATAAATACTTACACAAACTAAAAATAATATTTTAAATACTAAATACATGCTTATACAAAACAATATTGCACCTTTATATCTCATAAGTAGTTTGAGGTGGCAACAGGCGGGGCAATTTTGCATTATCCAATTTGTCCTTAACATTTGCGGGCACAATTTTGGGAATCACCGTTATATGTTTTGGAGATTTTTTTGTCCTCATACTCATCTCTTACAGATCCTTGCGGTTTCGGTTAATCATCATCCTAAAAAATAAACAATTATTTTTGAAATCAATGCAACGCCTAAAACTTGTAAGATATATTATATTGTCTCAAATTAGTCTCTATCTATAATATGCAAACATCAATATTCATCTGACACCCAAATGTATATGTACAATCTTAATCATTTTCAATCTCAACAAATCAATATATATTAAATGAGAAATGATTTAAACTTCAATTTTAGTTCTTTTGAGATGTAACAATGGCACCACGTAATCTCACAATTGTATCATATATAATTTTTTATTAAAATATATATTAAGGATATATAGGTAAATGATTATAAATATATTTTTAAAATTTTATAAAATATCAGGGATTTCTATGGATATTTTTTGAGGATCCCTACGATTATTTATACGGGTAAGATTTGGTTATTCACACAGTTCGGATATAAAAAATCCCCTCTCCATCCCCATTCGAATCTCTTTAATCTAATTTACTCTACTTATAATAAAAAGTAAGAATTCGTATCTTCAATTTTTTTTTGTATCTAACACTTACATTCGATTTCAATTATATTTAAGATGGAGTTAAATTAATCCCTTAAACGAAGATAAGGTTCTATCAATATTGCCTTATCTTTGTCTATTAGATTTGTGTTCCGACTTTATGCCATATTCATTCTTTTCTCCACCCAATTGGATTGTAAATTGTGGAAAAAACCCACCATCGAAGCAAAGGCTTCTTGTTGTCAAAATGCTTTGCTGTTATGTGGAATGATGTGTAATTCGTTTCACACATTACATCCGCTTATGATGGCTATAAAAAAATAATTAAAAAACGACTTTTATAAAGATATTTAAAAAAAGTTCATGATTCAATTTTTTTTAATTTATTTTAAAATTCAGATTAAAATGACGCGACATATTTGACTTTATAAAGAAAATCAACTCCAAACATATGGGACAAAGTTGATCCAACATCACATGTCGCAGAATATAGCTAAATATCAGTTTATACAATTTTTTGCACCCACCCTCTAGTGATTAGAACTTACAGAATATTAGAAAAAACATTACCCGATAAACCATAATCTTTTTTAAAAAAAAGCAATTAACAAGGTGGATTTATATCCACATTTACTTATGCAATAATTCAAAGCAAGTGAGACGAGGTGAGAAGAAAAGAAGAGATGAGGATGAGCAGAGCATGATGAAGAAAGGGAGGCGAAGCACTGGATTTGGGGACTTCGGGGCATAAGAGACCTTCTTTGTCTTTGGTGCACAAATTGGCGAACAATCCCGGCGGGTATTTCCCGTACAGGTTTATGTAACTGAACATGGTGGAAGCACAGTTGTTGCCTTGGTCGTTCACTTTGTCCACAAAAGGGCAAGCGAACTCACTCAGTGCATTGCAACACCCTTCGCGTGGATATTGGGGTCCTTTGCACATTGTTGTTAGGATCGTGTAGTTCTTCTGCTGAAAGTCTTCGTCGCATTCTGTAGGACCAGATTGAATTATGTTGAACCAAAGTGTAACGATTAAATTTCGAATTTTAACATCACATTGGAGTTTGGGGGCAAAAATAACTATGGGTATAGAAAAATAAATGAGATTTCCAGTCATGAGGGTTTTTGTTTTTCTTATTTTTCAGCAAAAATGAAACGTACCCTTTTTAGCCTGGAGGAGGATACGCCCAAGAGTTTCACGACCTTCCAAGGCTGCTTCTGCATGCAGATTAAACAGAACAGGGAGTTGAATTCAAAGCATGCATTCATATCGGGAAATGAAGAAAGTAAAATGAAAAAGAGGAAGAATTACTTGAAATGTGGGAAGAAGAGACAAACCCAGATGGAAGAAAAAGGAAAACAAGGAACAAAAAGGTTAGATTTAAAGAATTTAAACCCATAATTCCTTTTCTTTTGAATTTCTTGGAATGATAAATATTTATGATCTCCTCGCCACCAAAGGCCAAGTCTCCCCTTTCTTCTTTTCGTTTCGAATCTGTTTTCCTTCTTTGTTTGCCTGTATTTTTTTTTGTCTGGTTCCGCTCCTGCCTAACAGAGAGAAGAGGAGGGGATGAGAGCAAAATGTTGCAATTTTGTTGGAACAATATTTTTCTATCTTTTGGACAAAACAAATTCAATGCAAGTCAGTTTGCATGCTTATGTTTGTTCATTCATTACTTAAATGTAAGATAACAATTTGCTATAAATTGTGTTAGCAACTTACCACGATAAAAACGTGAGACTTTTAACGCATACAACTATAGATAATTTTAAACAAATTTATGTTTTAATTCTATACATAATCATCATTTCAACTTGAATTTAATCGTCATTTGATTTGAGATCTTAATGAGTTAAATTATGATAAATTTGTGTGCAAAAATTATTTTGATTAATTTTTTTTTGTTAAATCTATTAATTTAGGATTATATTAAGCTCGATATAATATATATATATAAACAAGATAAAAATTCTACTGAACTTAATAAGCAACAAATTCTTTTAACAAGCAGAAGTCGAGCAAAATATTATCAAATGTATCAAGTCAAGCACAAGTCAAACAATTTTCGAATCAAATCAAACAATTCCTTAACTCATGATCAACTTGCTCGATAAGCAACCCTATTCACCCTCCCTCAATGAATATTTTCCTCAAACATCTTAATTTTGAGTTACATGACACCAACTTAGGTAAGAAATTATAATAAAATAAATCGATTTAAAATAAAATAAAACATATATTAGGATACTATCCTTCTTTTTTACTATTTTTAAAACAAAAATAAATATATTTTAGTGAATACCATTCATATTTTTAAACCCACCAAAAATAACATTCGCTGCAATATATCTTAAAATTTCTAATTGAATCAGTATAACATAACAACTCAAATGACAATCAAACAGGACCCTTTTATAAATCAAAATAAGTACTTGTCATAAACTCTGAAGAGCTTAGCAGTCAAATATGGCACAGCTTGTCACTTGACTCTTCCTATTATCTTACCAGTAGTTATCCGTGCGATTGAATCAAACCATATAAACCTATAAAAAACAAACAAACTGAGAAACCTTGTTAATGAAATTGAATAAGAACTGAATACTGAATCAATAAGCAAATCCATACCTATGCAAGTAGCGAAATTTTGTTTCTGACTGCATGCAGGTATCTCGTTAAATTTATCGGCTGTCAACAAATGTCCCTAGAGTGTCTTACTTTACGAGTGATGGACCTGCCCATCCGAAGGCGTCGAGTTGTCAGTGCTTCTAGCAAAACAACTAAAGCATCTTCGACTGCATCAGCCTGTTTATCCAATCCATGGACGCTACACTCTGGAAGAAGCTGCAGCTCAGAAAGAACGCCGATAGCTGCTGCCGCTGTACAAGTACGGTCCCATGATGGTTGAGGTCTACTCGTGAAAAAACATAAACTGTTACTACATACTTTAACTGATCCAAAGGGGTAAAGGAGTTAAAATAAGAAGCGGAAGCCGATGAAAAGCAATTGCTTTACAACTTACCGAAGTTTATGCATAGCAGATGCACCTGTGGCAAGAGAAACGCAAGGGAGGTCTTCCTCTCCCCAGACCAACTTTGCTTGCTCCTACAAGTAACATTTCTATATAACTTTTAATATATGGTGCTGGAAGCTTTGTAAAATGCTTAAGCAAATTACCTTGAGACGCCTGAACATTGCTGCAGAATTGCTCCATGTGCCATCAATCAGAACAAAATTCAGAGGCCTGTCTCTATTTGTCTGTGAAACAAAATCAACATAAAAGTTGCCTAAAGAAATCTAAATTACATATTACAAATAACATATTGTATTTTAACTTAGATGTGCTAATACAAGAGCTTTCTGCGCTTCGTTTCCATTTCTTTTTCCAACAAAAGTTGTTTCAATCACATGTAAAATACAATCTCGATGAAGTTCAAATATGGTGAAAAGATAGTTCATACAAAGCATACAGGAAAGACTCAGAAAACCAACAAAATTACAGCAATTCAGGTTGTCTTTTGAAAATGGCATTAGCATATAACAAATTCAATTAGAATCCAAAAAAATTCTATCTGAAATAGCTTATCATCAAGCAGCAGTTCCATGCAATTTTTTTTTGGGGGTAGTTTGGTGAAATATGACCTTTAGTAATGAAGTGATCAACACCCTTTCAAAATCAACAAATTACTCATCAAATATCATAAAGTAAAATGCAAAGCAAGAAAAATGTATAAAGATGACAGTACCGTCGAGTATGCACATCTCATATATGCTGAAGATTGACAGCTAAAGGCATCCTGAACTGTTTTTGGTACTGTGTTTTGATTTGGATAAAGGCACCAAACCTTGTCTTTTCCTGTGATTTCAAAGAAAAATATCAAAACTCGTTAGGAAGACCTTTATTTAACACCAAAATGTAAATGAACTGAACTTTAAAGTGGAGCATCTTCACGAAAAGATATAATAGGCAATAGCTTCACCAAACATTGATAATGATGTTTTGACAAATAGTTTGCTAGAAGTCATTTATTCATAATAACAAATAAACGGCAAAGAAAAGGCAAACCAAAAAAATTTATGTTACCCTCAGTCAAAAAGATCAGATGATAGTTTATCCTAAATGCAATAAAAGATTATTAACACGTAGAAAAGAATGTGATTACCCAAGTGCAAAGAAAAGACAAATATTTTCATTATATTTCACATCCAATGGACCAAAAGTAACTCCATCTGTTCCGAAATAAGCTTTAAAATTCAACCATACGATCCCAAATTAATTTACCCCATCAATACTGCAATATTTCCCTTTTTTAGAAGAAGGCTAAAAGAAACCTGCATCCTTAAATGCATTCCACATGATTTCCTCATCTTCAGAAATTCCATAAAGACACAAAGTTGCAGATTGAACACCAAATACTTGCCATAACAACTTCCCAGTGTTGTTCTGCCTTAGAAAATCCTGGAAAGGGAAGATTACACATTGGTGATATAACCATATACTATCACCGGGAGCATTGACATCAAACGGTAAAAAGAAAAACCTTACCTTTGGATGCATATACAACCAAAACCTTATACCATGCCATAACGAGCATGGCTTGACTTTCAAACACATACATCTTCCATAGGAAGCCAACACTGAAAAATGGTCAAATTCATTTCATTACCAAATCATGACGAAGTAGGGAAATCAGTTTTAAAGGCTGTTATTCTTCTTTGAAACACATCAATGAAATCTCTGAAAACACATACCTTCTGGCATAGGTAGCCCCGACTACCAAGCAATCGGCATGCTATTTGTCGAGCAGAAAAGAACTGGAACTTCTTGTCTGAGTCACCCAAAGTCTCATATTTGGCCCTATGCTTCTTATCCTCTTGGACTTTAAAATCCCCCTAATTTTGACCGCAATAGATCATAAGTAAGAAAACGCAACAACAGGCTAATACTAAATGGCATAATTATAAATAAAAAAAGCAACAATGGAAAGATATGATCGCCGCTAACAAATTTCAGTTAGCAAACTGATAATTAAACTATCTGCATTTATTGACTTAAACCCATTTGACATCCATGAAACTTGGAACATATATATTGTCTTCTAGATGAAATAGCATCTACGATCCAAATACTGTGAAATCCTAATGCTACATTCCTTGAAATATACTCCGATCAATTTCCCATCATTTCAGAGATCAAAGATGAAATAGAAAAAGAATAAAAGTTTCCTTTACATCACCAGAAATAGGTAAATAAAAACTAAATACCAAAGCAAACATATATATTATAAAGATGAATGGAGAACCTGTAATTTGCCGCCATTACCGCCAAAAACCATTTGGGAATCAATATTATTCTCCAAAAGCTTCAATTCCTTAATGACGGAGTTTACCATTGCTGGTACTGGAGATACGCAGCCCCATCCTTGCCACTCCTTCAACGTGATGGCGCCACGGCAATCAGTACCGTTTAATTCGGCTTCTCTTGGAGAAGAACGAGAGGCAGAGCTCATGATGAAGCTATTAAGGCTTCTGGGTCGATGCTTTATATGGATTTTGAGTGAGAATTTGAGAGACGGGAAAATTTGCAATGTAAATGTCAATACGCTATTGCTGTCGCTGCTCAACACGGTTCTTCACCTGGGTTTTCTCAGGGTTTTTCTCCTCTTCTTTTCCTTTCCTTTCCTATTTTTTTTAATAATTTGGACTTTATTATTGGCCCAAAAATCATGGGCCACAATATGATCCAATCACTTCATTATCTTTAGACTAAAAGTTCGTAGATGAATCGAGTTTAAATAAATATATTTTTGATTATTTTTAAATTTTTCTGTGTTCATAAAAAAATTTACAATCATGTTGATAATTTTTAAAGAAATATATGTTTTCATATTCATTTGATTATTTTTAAATTTTTCCGTGTTCATAAAAAAATTTACAATCACTTCTGGGTCGAATATTTTTTACCCCAAAATCCGAATCTGACCCGACCTAAATCCGACCTGATCAGATCGAGTTAGATTAAAACACATTCAAGTCCCATGTAAATCTCTACTCTTAATGTCCATACTCTTAATGTCCAAGAGAGTTTATTATTCAACACGAGTTTAATCAGTAATAATTATGACGGATCTCAATCCCAAACCTCTTGGGATAATTTTCAAGGAAATTAAGAAATCTATTATATTTTTTATTGATATGGACTGGTATCAAAGACAAGGAATCACACGTCCTTTGATTGCAATTTTCCCAGAGAGATTTGGAGATCAGTCCCTAGACTTTTCTTCCTATTATTAACCTGATCCCAACAACCCTTTCCAGACTTTTTCATGTTGAATTGGTCTTTGTCAATATTTATAGCGTAAAAAATTATGTATTTCATCGAGTAAATGTTTTAACCTTTATTTTTTATATTATATTTTCTTGAAAAAGCTTGTTTATTATATGTGAAATATATGTGTTTTATGTCGGAAAATCTTTTTAAGTAACGACATAATTTTGGTGGCATGACATGATATTTTTTTAATAAGATAATTGGTATATTTAATATTATATTTTTATTTGATTAATTCTTATATTATTTATTTCTCTTATTATAATTGAATACAAATATTCAAATAAATCAATTTTAGTATTCATCCAATTGAGTTTATATAGGGGAAATGCTCACGTGTGACAACCTTAATACGGATAAAAAAAAGCACTATCGGTTTTTTTATTATTTTAAATAATAAAACCGGTAAAAATGAGCGAAAATATTATTATTTCTACCGGTTTTGTTATTATTATTAATTACCGATATATGTAAATGCTGTAGAAAAACCCGGTAAAAAAGATAATATTTTCAGTAAAGCACTACCTAAAACATTATTTTTACCGGATTTTTTTCTACCGCGTTTACCTATATCAATAATTAAAACCGGTAAAAATAAAATTATTTTCGATCATTTTTACCGATTTTATTATTTAATAATAAAAACCTGTAACATCTTTTTTTAAACCATATATTAAGGCTACCATATAACTTCCCTTTATATAGACAGCAGACAACCAATGACCATTTGGGGAATATTTTACATAATGTTGGACCATCTATAAATTTCTCTTATTTAAAACAAAAACGATACTTTGACCGGCGTAACTCAAGGCACAAAAAGTCAACCAGACTAAAATAATATCCTTGGGTACCACTATAGAATGCTTATATAACTTTAATTCCTATTTTTAAGTATAATTTTTTAATTTAATCTATTACCTTTGCATTTTATTTAATTTGGTCGTTCGACTGTAATTTTTTGTAAAAATATTTCTTCCTATCAATTCTTTGATTATTTTATACCCCAATCAATAATTTACCCTTAAAATACCTTCTTTGAAAATAATATAATAAATACATTTTATAATTTTAAATTATATTTAATTTATTAAATAACATTACAGTATGAGAAAGAATATGAACAAATATATATGTATATCTTATGTGATAAATCGAAATCAATTATAACGTAAGTTATAAATAATTACAATTAAATTTATATAAAGACTCAAATAAATCAATTTGACTTTAAAAAAATTAAATAAAATTTGAATCATAAAATACATCACGTTAACTTAAATAACTCAAATTTTTAAACTTGACTTAATTGTAATCAATAAAAAATTCATCTCTAATATTAAAGTCAAAATTCTCAAAATATATATGAGGGTAAAATATATCATTCCTCACTGAACTTTAGTCTCTCTTATTTTATCTTTATACTTTCAGTTTTTCTAATTTATTCATTGAACTTATGAATTACTCAGGTTTGAATTTTATTATTATTTTTGTATGATGTGATATTTATTATTATTATAAATTTAAAAATAATTTAAAATATAAAATAAATCAGAAGGTGGTCGGACGCCACGTTGGCCGTAGATGGTGGTCGTTCAATCCCAAATTTCATGGGTCGATTCGCGTCGATACCCTGAACTTGAATCTTGCTGTTGTTTCACTTAAAAAATACTGACAAGTCAATATTTGTTCAAAGATAATTAACTTTGACATTGAAAGATCACACCCCTGACATCTATGGTGCTCGAACCTGAGTCCTCAGGAATAACAACAATTTCTTTACCACGAAGACCACTTGGTTCGTGCTTATTATTTTAAAATTATTTTTATATTAAACAATAATAATAAATTTCATGTCATACTAGAACAATAATAAAATAATTTAGAGTGATCAAAACAGAAATAATTTGAAGATCTAATGAGTAAATTAAAAATTAAAAATACATTGAGTAGAATAGAAGAGAGAATAAAATTTAATGAGTCCAGTCACAAACAACGTCGTTCCCTCTCTAACTCCACCATAGGATAGGTTTAGGAAAAACATAGAAGTCTTCGTAGAAAAAAAAAACTGGAGAATTTGAGCAAACTAATCAGACTTATCAACACCGACATAGTTAACCCACAATGATTTGGTACACTGAGTTTTTAAGTTATAATATTTCAATTGTTTAGAGAAAAATCAACATATTGTATTCCAGTTGTTTAAAGGAGAATTTCATCTGTAGCTGGTGTTGATGTGAAATTTCAATAGTTAATTTGATTATTCCCGTAGTATTGATTAGTTAAAAAGGGTAGAGTAATCAAATGATCCTATGACCGTTGAGTCTCTTAATTATTAAAATTTATAAAATAATTATCTGATTATAAATATTATTTTGTTGAGTTATGAATATTAAAATTATAAAATGATCTATTGAATTATTCATTATATTTTAAATTCTTCCTTTTTTATATTAAAAATTGACGACTATTTTAGGTGGAGGATAACTATCCCTAGTTGCTCTTTAAATATTCATACCGTTAAATAATAAAATCCTCTATTTTCTTGTTTAAAATTTTAGTTAGAGGATAACTATCCCTAGTTGCTCTTTCACGGTCCATCATAGCTACAATAATTATGTATAAATATTAAAAGCAAAATACACGTAGATGTCAACTTATATATGTACTAATCATATAAATAACGAGTGCCACGTAAGAAAGCGGGAATCGAGAGGCCATCAAACTCACCCGCGACAATCGCAAAGTCTTTTTTAATTTTCTTAATAATGTTTAATCCACTCCGCCCCTTATTATTTACAATATTAATCCTTATTTTATTAGGGTTTGCATCCATATATATAATACAGAGCCCAATTGATTTCTGAAAAAAAACCCTATCCTTTCGTCCCTTGCGTTCATCAAGCTTTAAAAATCTCTTATTCCTTCCTCAGTCAACTATTCAACCTGGATTTGCTCTTATATTCATATATTTTCTGGTTTTGGGTGTCTTTGGAAGAAGAGTTTACGTAGTTCTCCATTGCAGCGAAAGGGGAAAGCTCTGTGTTGATCAAATTACACGTAAACAGACTTGTCGACTTGCTGGTATGTTTTTATTTTCTGGGTTTCCAAGTTTGGATTCTGGGATTTATACACTCCTTCGTTTTGTGGGTTCTTTTTTTAATGGGGTTTTGTAGTGTTTTAGGTTAAGTTTCTTTGATCATAGTTTCATAACTTTTGAGAGACTTCAATTCTCGAAACGGTTCTCTGTTTAGTTTCTCTTTTCTTTCTTCTAGAGTTTGGAAATTCCAAGTTTCGTTTTTGGGGCCTTGAAAACTGAATGTTTCTGAAGTTTTCTTTGAAATCCTCACCCGGTTCAACAAGTAGCATGTAACTTGTAGTAAATAGTGATAATTATCCATCAAACGTGGGTAGTTGAGGTGGGAGTTTAAGATTTACATTGCGATTACCGTTTTGTTTATTGTAGTTATGAATATAATTTGTGTTACTATAAATACTGCAGTCGTTAATAAGGTTTTCTCTATATAGCGGTCAATATTTTCACAACAGACCATTATTTAAATTTATGAATTAGGTAAATTAATTGTTTGAAATATCATATTTTTGGTGAATTGGGATGGATAGAGGGGTATTTGAGATATGTTTTCTTTATGTTTTTTATTGATAATTTAATTTTGTAATTTCATATTTTTAAATTTTTTAATATAAGTTATAATGTTCGTATTCCTTTCAGAAAATCCTATGTCCATCTCTGGTGATAAGAATTCATGATTCTAATATGGTATTTCTTTTCTACAGATTTGGGCAGCAGATGGCCACTGAGCGCTACTTTGAAGATGTTAATGACCCTTTAAGTGGATTAGAAAAATTCCCTTGGAGAAGTGGGAGAAATCAATGAATTCAGTCACCGATTCGGAATACGATACCCCTCTGGTTTCGACTGCAACATCTGTCTGGACTCGGTGCAGGATCCGGTGGTTACTCTATGTGGTCACCTGTATTGTTGGGCCTGCATTTCCAAATGGCTTCATTTGCAGACCATCTCCACCGAAAACCAAGAACTGAGGCGGCAGCAATGTCCTGTTTGCAAAGCTGAAGTCTCGCACACCACACTGATTCGCTTTACGGAAGGGGCCTAACAGCCAACGCGTCAACTGGCAACACTCCGAAGAGCCCTCTCGGTCCGACTTGTGGCGTCGCACGATAAGGTCACCTAATATGACCGATGGTTTCCGGTTTCCGCGGTCATTACATCACCATGGTTATTCATATGAACAACAAATCTACTACAC